GGGGCAGGGCACACGGGTCTCATACCATTCTCCACACAACAAGGGACTTGTTTGCATTCCCAGTCCTCACGGTATTCGAGTTGTATCCACTGGGAGGCTTTCCTAGTACGCCCTTCGTTATCCCACCCCCCCACACGGGGTCGCGGCGTGTTGGATTCCACTTCGACGCCCTTGTCGCTACCACCCTTGTTCCCCCATTAAAGGGGTGATTATCACCTCACCCAGTGCTCCGTCTTTCAAACTTTCTCCGACTTTTTGCATTCTCGCCTCATGGAGTAGTGGCTATCTAGAGTGGCCGCACTGCTTCCGTGATATCGACAACCCCGACACAGCCTGAGGCCCGACATCATGGCGCCCCCGCCTGAAAACAACAATGTACCCTCCAACGTCCCCGGGGACGTGGACGGGCCCGGGTCGCAGAGGCAGGAGCTCCCGCCAGCGGCCCCCCTGGTGCGTTCGACATCGAAGGCACCATCAACGGTCTCCGGTTCGACAGTAGCTCCCAGATCGGAGAAAGAATCAAATCCGCAACCGTCGCCCGCTAATCAAGTCTCCGTCGATGACGGGGGTGACTCGCTGTACGGTCATCTCATGGAGGATGAGAGGAACATCCTCAAAAAGCAGCTCGAGGTAGAAGAGGTCAAGGTGTCGTTTTCCCTCCTCTACCGCTATGCGACGACTATGGATATCTTCATCATCGTCGTGAGCTCCATCTGCTCCATCGCTGCCGGTGTTGCGCTGCCCTTGATGACGGTATGTTTTCATCGACCCAGGCCTCTATGGCTTTATGTGTAGTACAACGGCGGATGCTGACCATCTCTTCTAGATCGTTTTTGGCTCGTTGGCTTCGGGGTTCCAGGGAATCGCCCTGAACTCCATATCCTCCAGTGAATTCAACGACATGTTGACGGAGAATGTCTTGTATTTTATCTATCTTGGAATTGGCGAGTTTGCAACGATATATGTCAGCACCGTTGGTTTCATTTATACCGGCGAGCATATCACCCAGAAGATTCGCGAACATTACCTCCAGTCCATTCTGAGACAGAACATGGCTTATTTCGACAAGCTGGGTGCTGGCGAGGTGACGACTCGCATCACTGGCGACACTAATCTCATCCAGGATGGTATCTCTGAGAAGGTCGGACTCACCCTGACGGCCGTCGCCACCTTCATCGCCGCGTTCGTTGTCGCCTATATCAAGTATTGGAAACTCGCCCTGATCTGTTCTTCGACGATCGTCGCTCTGCTCCTGGTGATGGGTGGAAGCTCTCGTTTTATCATCAAGAACAGCAAGGACGCCCTGGAACACTACGGTGCCGGCGGCACCGTCGCCGAGGAAGTAATCAGCTCAATCCGGAATGCGACCGCCTTTGGCACGCAGGATAAGCTGGCTCGGCAGTACGAGCTGCATTTGGACGCAGGTCGGGGACCCGGTACCAAAGTGCAAATCACCGTTGGTTTGATGATCGGGGCGATGTTTGGTGTCATGTTTTCCAACTATGGCCTGGGCTTCTGGATGGGCTCCCGTTTCATCGTCAGCCATGAAGTCAACGTCGGGGAGGTTCTCACGGTGTTGATGTCCATCTTGATCGGCTCCTTTAGTCTCGGCAACGTGAGTCCGAATGGCCAGGCTTTCGCCGGCGCTATAGCTGCCGCTGCCAAGATCTTCACTACGATCGACCGCCCCTCCCCGTTGGACCCCTACTCCGATGAGGGGGAGATTCTGGAGCACCTCGAAGGTAACATCGAGCTCCAGAATGTCAAGCACATATATCCTTCTCGCCCCGAGGTTACGATTATGGAAGATGTGTCCTTGTCTATCCCGGCTGGGAAGACCACCGCATTGGTGGGGCCGTCGGGGTCGGGAAAGAGCACAGTTGTCGGTCTGGTGGAACGATTTTACTTCCCCGTCGGTGGTGCGGTATTGCTGGATGGGCACGATATCCAGGGCATCAATCTTCGTTGGTTGCGCCAGCAGGTGTCTCTGGTTAGCCAAGAACCCGTCTTGTTCGGCACCACGATCTATCAGAACATCAAGTATGGCTTGTTCGGCACGAAATACGAACACGAGTCCGAGGAAAAGGTCAAGGAGTTGATCGAAGATGCGGCAAAGATGGCCAATGCCCACGACTTCATCACAGGCCTGCCTGAAGGTTATGAGACTAATGTCGGACAGCGAGGCTTCTTGCTGTCTGGTGGTCAGAAGCAGCGGATTGCCATTGCTCGCGCCATAGTCAGTGACCCCAAAATCCTTTTGCTCGACGAGGCGACATCTGCCCTGGACACCAAGTCGGAAGGAATAGTGCAGGCCGCCCTTGACAAAGCTGCCGAGGGCCGGACAACTATTGTGATTGCCCACCGCCTGTCAACTATCAAAGCGGCACACAACATTGTTGTCTTGGTCGATGGCAGGATTGTGGAGCAAGGTAACCACGATGAACTGGTCGATCGCCAAGGCACCTACCATGATCTGGTGGAAGCGCAGCGGATCAACGAGGCGAAAGATGCCGAAGCCATCGATATTGACGACGACGAAGACGACGAGGAATATGAGGATCATGTCCCTAAAGCAGGAAACGTGGAGCGTATCCATACCGCAGGCAGCTCTGGCTCTGTGTCTGTGGATCCTGACGACGAAAAACTTCAGGTCGAGTTGGGCCGCTCCGGAACTCACAAGTCGGTTTCGAGCGCCATCATGTCCAAGAGGGAACCTGAAAAGACCAAGAAGTACTCACTTTGGGGGTTGATCAAGTTTATCGCGTCGTTCAACCGCCCTGAGCTGCCTTTCATGATCATCGGATTGGTCTTTGCGACTCTTGCCGGAGGCGGCCAACCCACCCAGGCAGTCCTGTTCGCTAAGGCCATCAGCACGCTCTCCCTGCCTGAGAACATGTTTGACACGCTTCGACACGACGCCAACTTCTGGGCCCTCATGTTCTTTGTGGTTGGAATTGTCCAGCTCATCACCCTCTCGATCAACGGAACAGCATTTGCGATTTGCTCGGAGCGCTTGGTTTGTCGAGCCCGCAGCAAGGCGTTTAGGTCGATCTTGCGACAAGACATTTCATTCTTCGACAAAGAAGAAAACAGCACTGGCGCCTTGACCTCCTTTCTGTCTACGGAGACGAAGCACCTGTCTGGAGTCAGTGGAGCAACTCTGGGGACCATTCTGATGACCGGCACGACTCTGATAGCGGGCATGACCATTGCTCTCGCCATCGGGTGGAAATTAGCCCTAGTCTGCATTTCTGTCGTTCCGGTCCTTTTGGCCTGCGGGTACTATCGCTTCCATATGCTGGGCAAATTCCAGGAGAGATCCAAGGTAGCATATGAAGGATCTGCGAGTTACGCTTGCGAGGCTACCTCGGCAATTCGCACAGTGGCTTCGCTCACGCGCGAGCACGATGTCTGGGATATGTATCACGCTCAGCTGGACGCCCAGGGACGGAGGAGCTTGAAGTCCGTGCTCGCCTCCTCCGTGCTCTACGCCGGCTCCCAGGCCCTTGTTTTATTCTGTACCGCGCTCGGGTTCTGGTACGGTGGCACGCTGCTCGGAACACACGAGTATTCCATCTTTCGTTTCTTCGTGTGCTTCGCCGAGATTCTCTTCGGCGCGCAGTCCGCAGGGACCGTGTTCTCGTTCTCTCCGGACATGGGCAAGGCAAAGAATGCCGCTGCCGAGTTCCGCCGCCTCTTCGACCGGCAACCGACCATTGACACCTGGTCTGAAGAGGGCGAGCGCTTGGAGTCCGTGGAAGGACACATCGAGTTCAAGGGGGTGCGCTTCCGCTACCCCAACCGCCCCGAGCAGCCGGTCCTCCGCGGACTGAACTTGAGCGTGAAGCCGGGCCAGTATATTGCGCTCGTCGGGCCCAGCGGTTGCGGAAAGAGCACCACTATTGCGTTGCTGGAGCGCTTCTACGATGCCGTGTCTGGTCGTATCCTCATCGACGGCAAGGATATCACTAAGCTCAATATCAACTCGTACCGCAGCTTCCTGGCGCTCGTCAGCCAGGAACCGACCTTGTATCAGGGAACGGTCAAGGATAATATTCTGCTCGGTGTTGATGCCGAAGAGATGTCCGAGAAGGCCATTGTGCAGGCCTGCAAGGACGCTAATATTTACGATTTCATCATGTCTCTTCCGTACGTTGCTTTCCCCCTTCCCCCCTTCTATCTGAACCATCTACTAACACCAATTACAGGGAGGGATTCAACACAGTGGTTGGCAACAAAGGAGGCATGCTCTCCGGCGGCCAAAAGCAGCGTATCGCCATCGCGCGCGCCCTCCTCCGGGACCCCAAGGTCCTCCTCCTCGACGAAGCCACCTCAGCCCTGGACTCCGAATCCGAAAAGGTCGTCCAGGCCGCTCTGGACGCCGCCGCCAAGGGCCGCACGACCATCGCCGTCGCGCACCGACTCAGCTCGATCCAGAAAGCCGATATCATCTACGTGTTCGACCAGGGCAAGATCGTCGAGAGCGGCAACCACCAGGAGCTGATCCGTAGCAAGGGCCGGTATTACGAACTGGTCAACATGCAGAGTTTGGGCAAGGCCGGTTGATCGTTGCTTGCGCTGTATTTTTGATTGATTGATCGCCCTGCGGCTGTTTCGCGTATTGTGTGCTTATATACACTTTCATCACCCTATAATGTTTTTTGGTCATTGGTTATTGGGCGGGTTACCATTGCCGAATTATTCACCTCTATGCCTGTTTATGCTATTTTTGTGATGTTCCCCCGTCTCCACTTGGGCTCTGGGATAAAAATATTGTTTCGGAGTTGGCTTATGTGTTGTCATCTAGAACTGAGGAGCTAGGGCTTTCTGACCGACGTTCGCATATCGGGATTGGGAGATTATCTTTTTTAATGATTTCAATGCATTGTATTAATAAGTGCGTCACTTTCAGTAGTTTTGTAATAATACTGTAGGTCATCAATCATAAATCTACCATCAGATAGATATTGACATAATCATCAGTCAACATTATCGTCCGATTAGTCGCGATCTCCCACCCCAAACCCCCGCTGTACATCAATCTGTCGCTCCCCCCGCGCATCAGCAAGCAGGCCCATCAGGCCTTGGGCGATGTCCTTGATCTCGTTGTAGTCGTGGAGGAGTCGGATGTGTCGCCGGACGGTGGCGGACGGGTCGTTCCTAGGCCATTAGCTGGTTGGTTGATGTACTGACTAGTTGATTGGGGGCATTACTTTAGTTGAGACTTTGTCTCTGCGAGTTGGGCTTCTAGCTGGGCGATTTGGGGTTCGAGGGTTGCGATTGAGGTGTGGAGGGTGGTCTGTGGATGGTTAGTTTTATACATTCCCTGTCTTCTCAATGTGCCTTGTGTTTTCTGTTTGAGATATCATGGATTGGATTGGGTCGATGTCAAACCTGAAGGAGGAGGATATCATACTAGTTTCTTTTCCCTCTGGGTGTGCTGTTCTGGGGTGAGTGTGAAGGGTTTGTCTTTGTTGGTAGGAGCACCCCCTGTGGATGGAGAGGTGTCGTTTATTTCTGAGGACATTATGATAGGAGTGTCATAAGGGAATGATTATGTTTTGGTTACTATAATCACAGTCGTGATTGCATGTTGGTACTATCTCGGTGGGTTGATCTGCCAGGATATCAGTACTTATTCAACGAATATGTGGATGTGTGGGTCTCACTGGTTATGTAGTTGCGATGAGGAACTGCATGGGATCTTTGAATAGCTTTACATCCGTTCCACTTGTATTTTGATAGCTAAACAGTCTGCAGTTTGAGACTATTCATGGAGAGACGTGGTTCATGGAGAGATGATGATGAGGATCACGTGCAGAAGATAACGGGACGGACTGACGGACTTATCATCACCTGCTTTATTTCTTCTCGACTTCATCTTCTCGTCATCTTCTCTCTCTCCTCTCAGATGATCCGCTCTCACATTTGGCTATCTTGATCTGACTGGTTTGGATTCATTCCCTGCTTTCTAGGCCACTAGTCTTTTATATACTGCCCCCCTTAGTCTCTATACTGTACCTTATCCTGGTATCAGTCGTTAGTTCCCTCGGTCTCCCCCGCCCATTATCTGCCGCCCTATCTGCTAACCAGCTGGCATAGGATGGTACGTTCTTCCCTCTCCACTCCTTTTCTTTTACAACATCTACATACTAGCCCTGGTCGATCTGTCCCCCCTGACTGGCCCATAAATGTTAAGCCCCACAGCAGCGTCGTGTTAACTTTTTGTCCTCTGTCCAGTCGGGGAACTACGACTATCCACCTGCCTCTCGTGCATCACGGCCCAACCGCTCGAGAGAACCCAGCGAACACATCACTTTGCCCTTGCCCTCGGCCACACCGTCTCCCGTCCCTGTTCCTGCCCCCGCTCCCGGCGAGCACCTGCAGCACCTGCGGCAGCTGCTGACCTCGGAGCGAAACCGGGACACCTCCGCCCGCGCCTTGGAGACCCTCAATCAGGAGATCAACGAGTACCGGTCCATCCGGGGCCAGGATATTACCAGTTTTGACCAGGCCAGGGCGGCCGTCGATCGCCAGATCCAACACTACCGGTCCCGCCGAGAGGCCGCTCCGCATGACATCTACCCCGATCGCTTCCACCCCGAGTTGACTCCGTACGTCGATCCTGCGCGACCAGCCAACCGGGCCGCGCGAAATCGCCAGAGCCGAAGTGGTGGTCGCCCGCGAACCAGTTCGCTCCTTGACGAAGGTGTGCCTCCCCTGGTGATTCCGCCCATCATGCCTCTTGACCGCGAGGATGACCGCCACGGGGACCGATCGCGGGCCAAGCGGAGAAAGCTCGAGACGGACGATAGCAGAGAGGGACTGCAGAGTTTCCGGTACGGGCAGTATGGGCAGGTCGTGCCGGGGCCTTTGAAGATGGAGCTGGCGAGTTGTGATGGAGGGACATACGAGCCGGAGGGGGAGTGTTCCTGGCCGCAGAACGTGCTCCGCAACGACTCGTCGGTCTACTGCACCAAGTCCGACCGGTGTAATTTGATCCTGAAGCATCGCGGAGACTCTCCATTTTGCCTGAAAAAGATCGTGATCAACGCCCCGCGGTCTGGCTACGATGCCCCGTATGTTTCCTTCTTGGGTCTAGACGAGATTACCACTGATTGGTTGTCAAGGATACAAGAAGGCATGGTTTTCGTCTCCATGAGCTGTGACGAGCTTCTCTCGCGCACCGCCGCATACCAAGTAGAATACCCGAACCCGCGACGACAGCGTCGAAACCGACGGAGCGGACTGCAGCCATCCCAGGAGTACCTGAATGCCTATCGAACCCCGTTGCAGACTCTCGAACGCAGGGGCCTTGCCGGCCAGGGGTCCCACCGGGATTCAGAAACAGATCTGACCAGCGCTCCTAACCCCACGAACGATTTCCACATCACCACCGAGTACGACAACCCGTCTGAGCGCAACGACCGCGACACAAACGGGCTAGCAGCCAATCCGCCGTCTATCGCAGACCTCGCGCGGTGGCAGATGGAGCAGATGGAGGACGATCTCCTCGGTTCAGACAGCGACGACAGCGAGAGCGACGACGATCCCGCGGAAGTAAGCGCCTACAGCCGCCGACGGCGCGATTTGCAACGACGAGTACGAGCCATGGAGCAGCAGCAGGACCTGTCCCGACGACGGGCGGCAGGATCCAGCGCAGTGCCACCGACACTTCCGGGGAGTCGTCCACTGGAGCCACGATCAGGGCCAAACACGGCCCTAATGCAAGACCCCGATCTACTGAGGCCGCACGCGCGGTTCTTCATCGAGCGAGCCAAGAGCACGGTCAGCATCAAGTTCGATCCACCACCGTAAGCCCACCTTCCCCCTGTAACACGGACAGACAGCGTAGCTGATTAATTTGTAGATCCGGACGATACATTCTAATCAAGCTGTGGAGTCCATACAGCGGGGGTAACATCGACATCCAGAGCATCATCGCGCATGGCTACGCGGGACCGAGATTTTTTCCCGCGGGTAACTTTCGATGATGGACTACACTCTTGTATTCGTCTTCTTCATAACTCTTCTTATTTTATAGGAACACTTTCTGTCTGCTTATCTCACCTCCAAAAGCAAGCAATAAGCTGGTGGGGCGGCCTTGTTTACGTGAATGAATGAATGAATGTCTAGATAGGCATGTATTGTTTATCGACCAGAGCATATCTGATACTCGGTCATTACCCGAATCTACCTATCTATCGTCGATGCATCATACGATGATGTATGATCAACTTAGATGCTCTTGTTGTTGATGCTCAGGAGCTCAACCTCGCTGGATAGAATTAGCACCGTCATAAATCAAACCAACCAAGATAAACCCAATGATACGAAGTAAGAAGAAAGGAAGGAAGGAGGAAAGGAAGAAGAACATACAAGACAAGAGTGGCGTTGGGGGGGATAACACCGGGGATACCGCCGGGGCCGTAGCCGAAGTCACTGCATTTGTTAGTATCTTTTGTATTTTCATCTTCATCTTCATCTTTATGAGGGAATATATATATATATATATACATATATACATAATATTGAACCCAATAAATGAGAGGAGAGGAAAGAAGAGGAGTAAGTAAACTCACGGAGTGATGGTCAGGATGGATTTCTCGCCCAGGCTCATCTGGGGGACACCCTCGTCCCAGCCTATATGGTATCATTAGTATATCTATCTTCTTTCTTTTCTTGATGAATGAGTGCTGCGTGTGGATTGGTTTTGTTGTTTAATGGATGTGTATGTATGTATGTATGTATGTATATGAATGCTTATATAAACCAGGTATATAAATAAACATACCGATTTACATATCATTAAACATGCATATACATACATACATACATACTCATCACATCACAACAACTCAACTCAACACCTCAAAAGAGCAAACCAAAGGAAACAAGAAGAGAGAACATACCCTGGATCAACCGGCCAACACCGATCTTAGTCGCGAACGGGCCACGACCGGGCTTCTTGGAGCTGTCGAAGCTGTTTGTATCATTCTTATTAGCCTTCCATTCATTCATTCCATCATCTTCCTCTTTTTTCCTCTTTCACCCCCACACTCCCTTCAAACCCAAGAGTACACATCCTACTGGATAGAAAGTGGGACAAAGAAGAAAGGGAAAACAAACATAGCACCCATAAAATGCTTCGCCTCGCCAGCAGCCTGGTCGTAAGTGCCGCCCGTGTAGTGCATGGTGACCATCGAGCCCTTGGCGGGGAAATCCACGCCGTTGCCGGGGGAGAGAACTTTGCGATCGACACCCATTTTGATGATTTTTGGTTGGTTGGTTGGTTGATTGATTGATTGAAAGGATAATGGATTGTTGGAGATGAGTGTAGGAAAGATGAGGGGAGGCAAGGTGAGGTGAGGTAGGTGGGCGGGTGAAGAAAAAATTATGGGGCATTGGATCAATCTAGTCTTGATTAGGCTGTCTTTTTCTATCCAGTTCTTTTGACATACGATACTGCGGACAGTATTGTATATATGTATGATGAAGATGAAGTCATCCAATTAATCAAACAATAATCAAACAATATGTGTCGTCTTATCAGACAATGATATTAAAACAGTAGAAAAAAAAAACACGCTAGAAGGAGAATCATCATCTGCATACCGCGTCGCCCAGAACGTATATACACTCCTCACTAGGCTTGCGCTCATCCCCCCCGTAAATAAATAAACAAGACAAGACACTGGATAGCAGCGGGATCAACCCGCCTGTCGATGCATATGAATGTCACCTCAGCTGGTTGCCTCAAGCCGACGTGTCTTGAATCAATGCTCTCATTGCTCGTCTCTCGTGCAAAGAATCGTCCAACGCCGAACCTTCCTTGTCCAAAAATCAATACTCCTGAAATGAAATCCAACTCCTCCCAAACAAATGAAACCAATCCCTTTTCTTCCATCTTTTTTTTTTTTGGAGGAGTACTTGTTGTTATATTACGACCACATCTCCCTCGGCATCCGCCGGGTCAGAGGCCATCATATCCCCATACTTTCCCACCGTGATCAGTATGGAATCGTCGTCGAGATCGATGGCGCTGTCGTCATTGTTGCCTCCCTGGAAGGCTCCGATGTTTTCCGGGATGCCGTGCGGCTTCTCCGTCTCCGCCGCGTGCCCGTGCGATTCCCCCTCGCCCGGCGGCTCGAACGCGGACGGGGCCGGTGGCGTCCCCGTCGACCGCGTCGGGGGCTCGCTGGCATGCGGTTCCTCCGAAGCCACCGACGGCGCGTTCAGTCGATCCGATTCCCCAGTCGATTTCAAACAGCCATTTGGGTTGGCAGGCTGGGATTCGGCGAGCGCTGCACTCTGCAGCGAGCGAGGCGTGTGCCGCATGAACCCCCCCTTCTCCGCCTGCCAGAGCATCATCTCGTGGAAGAACACTTTGGTCATCCACCACGCGCTGAAGCTTTGCGCTCCCCCGAGGGTGAGCCGGTGGAGGATGCGATCCCACAGCGCGTCCACCCGTTCGACAATGCAGCGCGTGCGGTGGTCGGGGAACGCCGCCGGCAGGTTGAGGATGAACGACACCCACTTGTCGGGGAAGTTGTAGTCATCGCCCGCCGCCGACTCGACGGGGTACTTGTGGGCCTGCGTGTCGGCGTCCCCGTCAGGCCGCGTGAAGAAGGGATGGCCGGCCGTGGGGTTCATGTCGGAAATCGGCGTGAGGAGGGCCCGGATGTCGTGTTTCAGGATCTGCTCCGTCGAGCGTGCCGCGCAGCTGGGGATGTTCGCCTTCGACATCATGTCCTGGGGGTCCACCAGCGTTTTGAAGTCGAACCACATCTGGTTCCGGTTGTCCGGATGACACAGCCACGCCGCCGCCGCGTTGGCGCTCTGGTTCACGTCGAGCATGTGTCGGAGCAGGTTGCAGAAGATATGGGCGGGAACCAGTCGCGCCAGGGACACGTGGACCGGCTGGGTCTTGAACGTGTCCGCGATGTGGGAGGTCAATCGTTGCGAGATCGAGCCAAACGCGTCGAGCACGACTTTGGGCACCACCTGGGTGGTCAGGGGGGCCACGAAGGCGATCATCTTCTGATACATCAACCAATCGCATTCCTTGATCCACGGTGCGAGGTTGGGATGCGTCAGGAGTTTCTGCACCGGAACCGTCAAGGTTCCATGGAAGGCGGAGAAGTACCGCAGCATGTTGCGCTCTTTGCAGTACCGGAAGCTGTCGATCACAGAAATGCAATGTGATCGGTATAGGGCCGCAAGGGCCGCGGCGACCTTGGAGTCGGCGTTGGCGGGCAGGTAGTCGTTGATGTCGGGAAGGTCAAAGGCGTTGTTGTCCACCGAGGAAGCCTCCGTGACCGGCAGGTGAAGCATCTGGTGGATTATCTTCCCCGCGTGGCTTGCGACGTTGTCGAGAGTGACGGCGGGTTCCCCATTCGCCGGTTGACAGCCACATTCGGCGCTCAGGGGAGGATGGTTGCTGACCGATAATCTGGGGGTGAAGGAGGTGGTGGGCGATGGGAAGACGGCCGTGTCGGCGGGGTCTGGTGGTCCGTGACTGACACTGTAAACCATGAGTTAGCCTTCTGCAATGGGGTTATCTCGTATTGGTAGACGCACCTCTTCGGGAGCACGTCCACCGGCTTTGGTTCGATGGAGCTGGCCGCCTCGCTGGCCGGAATGCTGGGGTTCAGCGGCGGGTGCTTCTGCTGCTTCTCTTCGATGACCGTCAGGTCGACGTAGTGATATTTGGATTCCCCGCGAACGCCCAATCGTCGGGTTTGGACGTTGGGGAATATAATGCGCACGAGCTTGCCAAACGATGCTGGGTTCAGCACTGAGACGCGCTCCGTGCCACATTTTTCAGCATAGCAGCAGTACACGCGATCGCGGCGTACCGATCCGCTGCTCTTTCGGCAGTTTTCCCGTAACCTGATGAACGAGTCAGCCAGACGTCATGCAACGGTTTCTTGAAAAGTGCGGTACGTACCAGATCATCGCGAAGACTTGCTTCACCTTCTCCGCCTTGCCCCCGGCCCCCTCGTGCTTGAGGACCTCCGCAGCCATCTGCTTCAAGGTGTATCCCTCGTACTGTCGCAGCAGTTTCCGCAGCTCATTGTCGTTGGCCAGGGACGAGCTGGAGCCTTTCTTCCGCTTGCCGCCAACCTCGGAGCCTTCGTTGTCGTCCATAACATGGTCGGGTACATGGTTCTCGATCCCGCTGTCATACATGCCCTGATACTGGGGCATCGGCATGGTCGACAAACCCGACGGCAGGGAGTGGTGGGAGAGATGATGGCCGTGCATGGCGTGGTTGGGAAAGTCCTCTGCTCGCGGCATGACGGGGTGGTGGGCGTCCGTCATGGTCGCGTCGAGGGGAGCTCCATTCACGGGTTGCGACAGCTGATGACCGAAGCGCATGATGATGTCTTCCGGGTTCCCGCCAAAGACGGGATGACCTGTCCCCGGTTGCGTGGGCAGGAACTGCGAGAATCCATCGGCGATCTGCTGGTCCTGGGTTTGCTGGGTCGTGTTGGAGTGGATGCTGGCCGTCGAGCCTCGGGATCGCGGACGACGACCATTCCTCGAGATGACCGTCTCGGAGCGCGATCTCATCAGGTCCGCCGTCCCCGGACGACTGTGAGGCGGTGCGACTTGGGTGGTCTGGGAGGCCACGCTTGACTGCGACGCCGCTCGGCCTATTCGGTAGGATGGGGCAGTTAGTAACGTAGCGAAGTGGATTCCAACACACCAATCACGAGATCAACAAGCGACAGAAAAGAACGCAACAACAGGGAAAACAAATCGATGAAAAACAGAAGAAAAATAAATCAAATAAAATAAGACAAAAGATCCACAATAGACAGAAAGTTGGAAGGTGGGCGACGAGACGAAACAAAGGACATGCAGGGACACATACCCATATCGAGAGGCATCTTCTTGTTTTCTCTCTTTCTTTCTCTCTATTCCTTCTTATTTGGCCCCCTTCCAACCAGTTCACTTGTACTGCGGGGACAAGGCTTCGGACCGGCACCAACCAACGAGGGGATTGTGGACTAGTCTCGTTCGTTGTTGCTTGTTGACGGTAACCACGGGCGATGTCTGTTTTGATCGACCAGGACCACCCTTGGGGGGAGGGGGTTGGGAGGGATTTTCTTCTCACACCGCAAGAGAGAGGGAGTGGAGACAGAGAAGCCGACCGATGACCAGACGACGAAAGGGACGAAAGAAAAGAAGAAGAAGAAGGCGTCGAAGCAGCAGGACTATCGGGCGCCGCGTTGGAAGTGAAGGTGAGAGAGGTTGGAAAAGGATAAACAGAGCTGAGGCGCCCGTTCCTCAAGCAACGCTAGCCTTGTTTGGTCACGTGTGCCGTGACATTCCACAACACTTGTATCTTATATATGTATAATATATTGAATAGAGATATACGGTGTATATAGGTAGAAATTTATAAATTTATTTGGGATATATTTTTTATATATATATATATATATATACCTTGTCATGAATTGATATCAGCCTACCAACCATGGTTGATCCACTCCTGGTTGCACGTCGATCTCCCCAGATGGATGGATTCAATAGGACTCTCTCCATTCTTCAGTCTGTCTCTTGCACCATGTTCAGAAAAATTTACATCGACCCAACTACTACACTTCCGAGCATCTCTAAACCAATGACAATACACGCGGAACAGTGGAAAAGTACAGATGAGGTAACCAAGAGAACTCGGACGGAGTAAGAAAACAAGAAAAACAAATGAGAAAAGAAAAGAGAAGAAAAAAAAGAAGGTTGGTCGTCTATTAGTCGAGAGGATAAATGTTCACCCAGCCTGCAACTCACAACACGGCGAGTCGACAGTTATTCACGCATCCATCCGTCTCTGACTGGATGCGTTGGATACTCCGTGTTGCACCCAAGCCATCTCTATCATCCCCTCATTGTTCCACCCCTCCACCTATTTAGACAAGATCCCGCTTGACGAACTCGGCGAGCAGGGCCTTGCCCAGGGCAGCCGGGCTGCGCTCGACAATCACACCGGCATCCTCGAGGGCGGTGATCTTGGAGTTGGCATCACCCTTGCCACCGCTGACGATGGCACCGGCGTGACCCATGCGGCGGCCGGGGGGCGCGCTGATACCGGCGATGAAGCTGACGGCGGGCTTGTTGAACCGGTTGTTGGCCTTGAAGAACTCGGCGGCGTCCTCCTCGGCGCTGCCACCGATCTCACCGATCATGATGATACCGTCGGTCTCCTCGTCCTCGAGGAAGATCTTCAGGCAGTCGATGAAGTTGGTGCCGGAGAAGGGGTCACCACCGATACCGACGACCAGCGACTGACCAAGGCCGGCTTGGGTGGTCTGGTTGACGGCCTCGTAGGTCAGGGTACCGGAACGAGAGACGATACCAACACGGCCACGCTTGTGGATGAAACCGGGCATGATACCGATCTTGCATTGACCCTATTGAAGAAGGCGCGTCAGACATGGCGGGGAAATTATAACATGGGAGGGAAAGGGGCAGAATATCCGTAGAAATCATAGAGTGGCACTTACGGGAGCAATGATACCGGGGCAGTTGGGGCCCACCAGGCGGGTCTTGTTCTGGGTCTTCAGGATGTCCGTGATGCGGACCATGTCTAGTCAATCATCATGTCAGCTGTGCTCCAAGCCATGCGCACAAGGGGACCGCATACCGTGCTGAGGGATACCCTCAGTGATACTATATTGAACAAAATCCTGTATTAGCCACGCTTCAGCGAACAGAATCCATCCACACGAACATACCAGACAGCCAGGGGGATTTCCGCCTCAATAGCCTCCTCGATACCCTTAGCAGCCAAAGGGGGGCTAATAACGATCAGTAAACAAGCTCTCTGCGCAATCACAGCTGGATCAATGCATACGGGACGAAGAGGGCCGTGGCGGTAGCACCGGTCTCCTTCACGGCCTCGCTGACGTTCGCGAAGACGGGGCGGTCGAGGTGCATCGAGCCGGCCTTCTTGGGGTTGGTACCACCGACAACCTTGGTTCCTGAACATCGTCAACACTACCATCCAAGCACATAGTTATCAAGACAAGAGAACGAGGCGATCGGGATCATACCGTAGGCAATGGCTTGCTCGGCGTGGAAACTGCGATAAGCCAAAAGCGCGACGTCAGCATTGACAAACCACCAAGTGATGCAACCACAACAACCCCACTCATCGGAAAGACCACATACGTTCCCTGCTTGCCCGTGAAACCCTGGAAGATAACCCGGGTGTCGCCATTGATGCGGAGGTTGTTGACGGTCTCAGCGTAGGCCGGGGTAGGCTTCGCATAGGCTCGACGCTGCGCGGACGCAGCAGCATTCCGGAGACCGGACAGGGTGTTACGACGGAAGGCCTGCATGTTGAAAATCAAAAGAAAGAAAACAAAAAATAGAAATATAGAGTGATTCAGAGGAAGAGAGGAGAGGGAGGGAGGGGAGGAGGGGAGAAGGCGGCGGATCAGGAGTAAAAGTAGCTTGGGGGAGGTGAGGTTTAACTAGTGCTCTTTCTCGGGACAAAGATTATTGCGGTCGGTTGGCCTCTTCGGTCACCTTAATTTTCCTCTTTTCTTTCCCGGTATCTCATCCCGTCCCGCGGGGCTAATCTCTCTCCCTCAACTATCCGATCGCTCGATCTCCACTCTGATTTGAGATTCTTTGATTGACGGTTCTGAATTTTAACTGAACCTTCTCCCAGACCACTCCGCCTTGCGCGGTATCATACTTTTCAACGAAAAGGAAAAGAGAGAAGGAAGAAAATGGCGACCGTCACCATGACCGCGCCGCCACCGGCATCCTACAAAACCAACAAGAACCGGTCCAAGCTACTCCCCGAGAATGAACGCTTCATGAGAGCCTGTTCGGATATCGCGAATGCTCTGATCCAGGAGTATGAATCGCAAAAGGATCCGACCGCGCCGCGCAAGGATATCAATCTCAACAAACTGCGGGGTCAAATCGCCAAAAAGCACAGTCTGGCCACCCAACCACCACTGACAGCCATCATCTCAGCGGTCCCCGAGCACTACAAGAAGTACATCTTGCCCAAGCTGATCGCCAAACCCATCCGGACGTCGTCGGGTATCGCCGTCGTCGCCGTGATGAGCAAACCCCACCGCTGCCCGCACATCGCCTACACGGGCAACATCTGCGTCTACTGCCCCGGCGGACCCGACTCCGATTTCGAATACTCGACGCAATCCTACACCGGGTACGAGCCGACGTCGATGCGCGCCATCCGGGCGCGGTACGATCCGTTCGAGCAGGCGCGGGGGCGCGTGGACCAGATCAAGTCGATGGGCCACAGCGTCGACAAGGTCGAGTACATCATCATGGGTGGCACGTTCATGTCGCTCCCCGAGAGCTATCGCGAGCCGTTCATCGCGCAGCTGCACAACGCCCTGAGCGGATACCAGACGGACAATGTCGACGAGGCGGTGCTGGCGGGCGAGATGAGCAACATCAAGTGCGTGGGCATCACCATCGAGACGCGCCCGGATTACTGCCTGGACACGCACCTGAGCAGCATGCTGCGGTACGGCTGCACGCGGCTCGAGGTCGGCGTGCAGAGTCTTTACGAGGACGTCGCGCGCGACACCAACCGTGGCCACACGGTGGCGGCCGTCGCGGAGACATTCAAGCTGTCCAAAGACGCAGGCTTCAAGGTCGTCAGCCACATGATGCCGGACCTGCCCAACGTCGGCATGGAGCGCGACATCTTCCAGTTCCAGGAGTACTTCGAGAACCCCGACTTCCGCACCGACGGGCTCAAAATCTACCCGACCCTAGTCATCCGCGGCACAGGGCTCTACGAGCTCTGGCGCACAGGCCGCTACAAGAACTACACCCCGAACGCCCTAATCGACCTCGTCGCACGCATCCTCGCCCTCGTCCCACCCTGGACCCGCATCTACCGCGTGCAACGCGACATCCCCATGCCCCTCGTAACAGCAGGCGTCGAAAACGGCAACCTGCGCGAGCTCGCCCTCGCGCGCATGAAAGACTTCGGCACCACCTGCCGCGACGTGCGCACGCGCGAAGTCGGCATCAACGAAGTCAAGAACAAGATCCGCCCGTCGCAAGTCGAGCTCGTCCGCCGCGACTACACCGCCAACGGCGGCTGGGAGACCTTCCTCGCCTACGAGGACCCCAAGCAGGACATCCTCATCGGCCTGCTGCGTCTGCGCAAGTGCAGCGCCACCCACACTTTCCGCCCCGAGTTCACGGGGCAGCAGACGAGCATCGTCCGCGAGCTGCACGTCTACGGCTCTGCCGTCCCCATGCACGGCCGCGACGCCCGCAAGTTCCAGCACCGCGGGTTCGGAACACTCCTCATGGAGGAGGCGGAGCGCATCGCGCGCGAGGAGCACGGGAGTCGCAAGATTAGCGTTATCTCGGGTGTGGGTGTGCGCAGCTACTATGCTCGCTTGGGGTATACGCTTGACGGGCCTTATATGTCTAAGATGTTGGATCCTGTTGAGGATGAAGACTTTTAAAACGTACTTTCTTTTCTTTCTTGTCGCAAGAGAGAAACAACAAAAGTTCCTGTTATTTTAACGATTCATATGGCGTTTGGGGACGGGTGATTTTGTTAGCCGCTGGCTCTGCATAGGGGGTGTTTAGCGTGAAAATTTATACCGGAGATGATGGGAAGGGAGAGTTGAATATTCTTGTCATGTATATACAACAGGTTCTATACTCTCATGAATGAACCGGTTTGGATAGAGTCCACCGCCTACTGTGACAGTAGACGTCGTATATGGCATAAGATAAAGGAACAATGTCTATGTTAACTAATAGACTAGGTATATACATCTCACGGATCCTCCAGCCCAGTAAGCAAAACGCCAGAACAGCGACAAGGAGGGTACTCTGTGAGGTCCGAAGCCAGAGTCAACAGACGACTCCCTCAACACCAGCGCGACATAACAGACGTCGCGAGTCTAGCCAGCAGAACAGCGCACCAGCAGAACAGTGTAATCAATCCACGATCTCAACCACATAGATAGGATTGATAATGTCGGTTGATAATGGACAGTACAGCCCACAGTGACAGAAAAGGAAAGGAAAAGTCAAGTAAAAAACGAAGGACAAGCTCTAGCAATCTAGTTCAACGATATGGAGCCTCCCCTGCGGGCCCTCACGTGCAGATAAGCCTGGAAAGCACAGAATACGAAGAAGGCCTGGGCGTGTCATCCGTTAGTAAAGAGCCTATATGATGTGTCTTATCGTGCAGTGTATCGGTCAAGACGTACAATGTAGATGAAAACGGCGGTAAAGATCGAGGCGGCGACTGCGCCGCCGTCTTCAGGCTCGCCTTCCGAGCCGGTGAACCCGTGGTGATCGTTCTGTTTGTTTATCCTTGATTAGCTGCTGATCTGATCTGATATGATATGTGGTGGACTGGTGTGTCTGGTCTAGCTTGGATCCCGTGGGAAGCCGGAAATGACGATGACAACGGGCGGACGAACCTGGTATAGCGATCCGAGGACGGAGAGGATGACAATGGCGAAGAGGGAGATGACCACACTGGGTAGTTGGAATTAGCCTATTATTCATTGAAGATTTCCTTGAAGGGGGAGCTGTACCAGGACCAAGCGTTTAATAGGGAGACGACGGGCTTCATGGTGTCGATGCGATAGCGGGTGCGCGGGTGATACGAGCGTTGAGTGGATCCGCGGAAAGCCGGTAGGGTAGGATTCCGATTAGGCGGAGTAGGGATATAGACCGAAAGAGTGCGAGATGGAGGGTTGATGGAGGAGATGTGGAGAGGAAACTGGGTGGATAGTGGAGGGTTGTCGATGATGTCGGGTTTCTTGATGTCTTTGGAGTTGACTGGCGAGAACTCCGAATGCGTGAAACGACTATTCCGCATTCGGCAATCAGGTCATTTGCGGCCAAGTCCACCGCCTGATCTATTTTTATTTATCTATATTCTGTACAATTCTTGCGAGAGGAGAGAACATTCATGAATTACATTCTGATTGCTTGCAGTCTCATTGTATTTAGATGCTGGATAACGTTGACGTTGGCTGTCAGAGCAGATCGGCTGCAGTATACGATGACCTTGACATGGCAGGAGAAACAACATGCGATTTGGACCAGGATAGAATGAGTGCATTTCGTGATTGACCCCTGTGGTACTTGAAGATCTTTTGACTCAGTTTCAAGTTAGGGTGTTATTGCCATACCATTGAAGATGGATGACACTATTATTTGCATCCGCGCTCTGCTAATGCTTGGGCGACAAAGTTGTCTGGCGAGCTTGGGCTGAGTGGCAAGTTGCTCTGAATCAGTAAGAAAGTACTTAGTTGCGCTGCAATGCGGACGATATCATAAGTCAAGAGAGCGAGCCAAATTGGCTTCACCTTCGAGGCGTGGTTAATTGGATTAGATGAGGTCAGTTTATCAAGCACCGCCAGGGCGGTTATCTGGAGTCTTTATAGCGAATTCAATGCTGGGATATCAGTCATGTTAAGCCCGACCAAGATGTCGTTTGGTATCTTGATGCAGTGGCTGAAATTCACTTATGACCTTCAGTTGCTAGGAAGTGGACGCTGTGGGATGCGTGGTTATACTTCCGTTTCGTTCTTATTTAGAATGGACGGTGGTGATCATCTGGTCGAATACTTGGGCATATCGTTGGCAGATATAGCCCTATATAGCTCTTGTATGGTGCTACCGATTAGAGTGGTATGTTTCTGACGATAGAACCAGAGAATACTAAGAGCATGGCGATAAATCAATCCAGAGCAGCCATTCTCTATTCCAGATCCTGTCAGCATTGATGGTTAGATCTTCCCATCTAAACTAGAAAACACCCAAAGCAATCCCGGAGAAACAAGTCCATTGTGATCAATACTGACCACCAAAATGGCCAAAAAAAAAAAAAAACAACCGAAGATCACCAAGTGTCTTCCCAAGACGAGAAAGGTTACATCGGCTAGGACGCGTTATCAGCAACAATCGCATAAAGATGACGGACCGAGCTTCGACTATCACCCGAAGAGCCGTGTCGTCTTCTATCTTTAAGTTCATACTAGGGCTCTGCCTGTACACGTAGTAGTACAATCTCGTATTCAACTATCAGATCTATAACCAGCTTCCTAACATCATTCCCCTCTATTCCCTCCCATTCCATTCCTTCGCTCGTCCTTAGTATATGCCCTACCAGTTCCAACCAGTCAGTCAAGCAGTTAAACTCCAGCCCCCCTGTCAGCCCCTCTCGCACAGTGCATTAGCGCGCCGAGTGAACGTGGCGGACAATGCGACTCCATGACGAGCCAAACTCCTTCGCTTATCGCTTATCCAACAAGAAGACACCCCCTCACCTGGGGTCCGTTAAACTTTATGGCTGATTCAATGAGTGGGTGAATGGGTGAGTGTGTTGTAGATGTGAAACGTGAGGGCTGGCTCGGTGATCACAGCCTTGTGTTTCGGCTACGGGCTTGGACGAACCAAACCGACGTTACTGGACGTTTTGGGATGAGTTGGCTCGGTTGTTCCTGGCTTGTCGGCCACCCCGGTTATTTTGGAGCGATGCATGCTTTGGGGTGTAGCGGCGTGGGTTTGCATGGGTTGGGACTTGCGTTGGAGTGGGGGTGGAGGGGCCGTTCGGTCTTTGGGTGAATAGCGTCAGTCAAGAATGGTAGTAACATGGTATAGCGGTGATGATGTGATGATGTGGTGATGCTATTGCAGTTGTATAGTTTCTAAGATATTCATTTGAAGTCGTGGGTGGGAACCGTTTTGGGTGGACTGTGCTTTTCTACCTATCTATCTATATATCTACCCATATCATTTGTTGATATCAAACAAGAAGATAGGCAAGAGAACTACCTACTGACTGCTGCAGTGATCACTAAACACTACATCCTATCCCCCTCTCCTCCGTAATCGGATGTACTTTCTTCTTCCCACACGGCGCAAGACCACCACCCATGGCATAGACAGGGTTTGTCGCCTCCACGACTGCATGATTAGCGTGGTGCAAGGACTCACACACAGATGCAATGCACTGTCCAGCAACAGTAAGTAATTTTAATTTTTTTAATTTTTTTTTACAATCGAGCTAAACTCAACCACAGCCATCCACCTGCATAACACCCTGAAGCGAGGCAGGTTGATCGCATCGCACATCGCATCTCGCATCAGGTGAGCAGCAAAAAAAAGACTAAAACGATACCAAGCTCGACTAACTTCTGTACTAAACTAAAAGCCCGACTCGTTCGTGAGATAGGCGTGGAAAATGGGAAAAGAAACCCTGCATCATGTGTAACCTGTGACCCTCACATGGGGGAACTGCTGCGTAAGTCTCAACCACGTTTCAGATCCTGCAGGCATCATCATTCATCATCATCATCATCATCATCGTCTCTTCCAGTTTCCAAAGGCCGTTCGCTTCCCTTCCCTTCCCACTCCCAGCCACCCCGACCACCCGAGCACGAGTCAGCGCAGGGCCTAGAGTGGAAACTGGAAAAGCAGTTCTGAAACGAAGTATCGAATGAGCTCTGGAGGTGGGAAGAGGGGGTGAAACTGGCTAGCGAAGCCAGTTGGGCCTTTCACCCCGGCCCTCTTGTAGTGACCGTCTGTAGGGATCGACACATTTTCTTTCGTTGACTGCCGGAAGGATTCCGGTCTCCGGATAAGTAATGCAAGAGAGATGCCGTGGGGATATGGAATCGAATCTTCGTCCATGGTGTCTCTCAGATTGTGTCTTATCCTTCTTTTTTTTTACTTTTTTTTTCAATCTATTTTATAAAGGTTAACGACTCGACAGAGGATCCGGAGAGACAGACTGCGTAATCCCCCGTCTTTAGTGCTGAGGTTTGTGTCTTGGCATCTTAAGACACTCCTTCAATCCATCTCCTACCTACGGAGTACCTTTCAAGACCTTAACTACTGCCCAAGAGACGACATATCAACCAAGACATCCAACAGATGGATCCACCGCCAATCATCTCCCACCCCGAACAAAGAGAGACAAGTTTCCTTGGACGATCCTGAAGGCTCGTAATTCTCCGACGTATCCATAATGCCCCCATCGTGCTGGAGCCCCCGGTTGGTCGAGCCGACTCTTTTAAGGGGAGAGGAGGGGGAAAAGAGAGAGAGAGAGGGGACCTCCTGAACGGGTTCCGGGTGTTTACCAGATTTGGGGATAGTGGGAGGATCAACTATCCGGATGGAGCGTTGTCGGAGAAGAGCGAGACTAGAAAAACAGAGGTTGTCAATTTTTTAGACTTTTTTACTTTACTTGTTTATTTTATTTTATTTTGATTATTTTTTTTTTTTTGGTTCTCTCTTCCTCTCGAGTCTCTCGTTCTCGGTTTTATTTCTATTTTTTTATGGTGATCAGCGTGTGTGTGGACTGGGAAACAGAATACTACTTACTACATCTCACCTCTCCAACGTTTCCCCGCACACTCCCACATGGGCATGTAATCATGTACATCTGTTGCAAGGTTAAGTAACCGCACTTCTGTAACGGAGGTATGTCCCATTATGATGTGGTCAGTGTCCAAGAATGTAGTTGCATCATAGCTTCTGGAATACCCAGCAAGACCCCTTGAGCCAAGGGAATGTATCGTAAGATTAATCTAAATATATTGAAATCAATAT